GGGATAAACCCGTTGCTAGAATTTCCAACAGGATGAAGACAAATTTTTCAGGGACACAGGCTGATAGTCGATTGTCAAACCATGATAATCGATTATCCAAAGATTCCCTGTCCAAAAATTTAAAATTCTATCCGTTGGAGGACAACGGTAACCCAGATAATCGATTGTCAACAAGTGATAATCGATTATTGGTCCTCTCTGAAGATTCTGGGTTTTGGCTGCAAAAGATGATAATCGATTATTGCAAAGCTGATAATCGATTATTGCGTGCTTCAGAACTTGGAAGTTCAAAGCTGCAATGGCTGATAGTCGATTGTCACTAAGGTGTTAATCGATTATCACCCAGCTAAAGTCCAGCCAGCTGAAACCCGTTTTGAAAAACTGAGGTCCAAAAACGAAGTGTTCCCAAAAGTAAAAACCAAGTTTGAAAAACATTGTATATGGTATAAAATAGTGAAAACAAGACTTGTTTGGTAAAAACCAAGTCCTCAAGGTCGTAAATCACGTGCGTACGGTTTTGACCGTTTTTTTTACGTGTTAGACCGATTGACCAAGATACAAGAGTGGTTTTTATAAAATAATTATTCGGGAACCTTTAAAATATGCTCAGAGATAAAAACAGGGTTTAAAATATTGAAAACCACGGAGTTGGTTCGGGCGCCAAAATCCGAACGCAGAAAACCGAACGATAGAAGCCGAACGCCGAAAGCCGAACGCCGACTTAGGTGGTTTTGGTTCTGAGCAAGGACCAAGGATTTTAACAATAAAGAGATTTATCTAAAATGTTTATTTTGATGCATAAAAACATTTTATGATTTTGTAAAATAATTTTGACTCTTTGAGAACCGAGACTTGAATTGATTATCGGTTTTGATCACAAAACACCGACTCGACTAAGTCTTCAATTCTTGATCTTGTCCTTGAGTCTTTTAGGTCTTGTTCCAAGCCATTCTTCACACCTTGAGTTATTCAATGAAACTCTTCATATCCACGGCGGTTTGGCAATTATCAAAACCTGTCAGAAATGAACACGACTTTAGTTTAACGTACAAAGTGTGTTCCAACAAAAAGCGCATTCCTAAATGGAAACCTAGAGGAAGAAGTTTATGTGGAACAACCTCCAGGATTTGAGCTACACACTAAAGGGGATCAAGTGTACAGACTCAAAGAGGCGCTATATGGACTCAAACAAGCACCAAGAGCTTAGTATGATACAATATCTCAATGTCTCATAGATAATGGATTCATCAAAGGAGTCATTGACAAGACATTATTCAGACTACAAGATGGAGAAGATCTCTTATTGGTCCAAATCTATGTGGACGACATCATATTTGGCTCAACTAAGGAAGATCTTTGCACCAAGTTCTCCACCCTCATGCAAGGAAAATTTGAGATGAGCATGATGGGGGAACTCAACTACTTCCTTAGTCTTCAAATCAAACAGAGAAGTGAAGGGACTCTCATTAACCAAGCCAAGTACACAAGGGATCTTATCAAGAAATTTAAAGTTGATCAGAAGTCATCCGTTTCTGTCCCCATGAGTACATCCAGCAAGCTTGATATGGATGTAGACGGAAATGATGTTGATCAAACTCTCTACAGAGGAATAGTTGGATCTCTACTCTACCTTACTGCAAGTCGTCCAGATATCTCATATGCAGTAGGTGTTTGTGCCAGATTCCAGTCAAAGCCAAAGGAAAGTCATCTGATAGCAGCTAAAAGGATTTTTAGATACCTCAAAGGAACTCAGAACATGGGTTTGTGGTATGCTAAGAACAATACATTTGAGTTAGTGGGATACTCAGATTCTGACTTTGCCGGATGCAAAGTTGACCAGAAAAGTACATCTGGTACTTGTCAATTCATTGGCGGAAATCTTGTTTCTTGGTTAAGTAAGAAACAAAACTCCATCTCTACATCAACAGCAGAAGCAGAGTACATTGCTGCTAGTAGTTGTTGTGCTCAAATCTTGTGGCTAAAGCAACAACTACTAGATTATGGAGTCAAGACAAGAGAAGTGACAATTTTCTGTGACAATCAAAGTACTATAGCTATCTCACAAAATCCAGTGCATCATTCTCGCACTAAGCACATTGATGTCAAGCATCACTTCATCAGAGATCATGTAGAAAAAAAAGATATCAAAATTGAGTATATCTCAATTGAGGAACAATTGGCGGATATCTTCACAAAACCACTAAGTGAGGCCAAGTTTTCCGATTTGCTTCACAAAATTGGTCTAATTCAATTAGACTGAGTGCGGTACACGTGGCAGTCTGTTAGAATAAGTGACCAACGCTAGAGGGGGGGTGAATAGCGTTTGATCGTAGAAATCGCAGGAATAAAAAATTAAGAACGTGAAAGATAAAGAGCGTAGAAAGCGTAAAGGGAGCACACCAAGATTTACCCTGGTTCACCACAACTTGTGGCTAATCCATCCTCCTGAGAGACTCTCTCGAGCTACACTACTTCCGTTAAGCTTACGGGTGCTTAACAAACCGTTACAACCTGAGAACTCGAGTCCCACAAGCCTCAACAACACTTGCTCGGAGATACCGCACTCCAAGACTTCAACCTGAAGGAAAAATACCTTTCCTTCGTACAACCAAGGGAAACAAGCTTCCCTAAACGTGTTTACAACACTAAGAGCACTCAAGAACAAGACTCTCTTTAAGAGTAGATGTTGAGTAAACTATATACGCTCAAGAACAACTCAAACTTCACAAATTGGCTCTAGAAAGCTATGGAAAATAATGTTGTTTGGATGCAATGATAATATGAATAAAGTGAAGTGAATTGATGTGTAAAGCAGACCCAAACACCCCTTTTTATAGTGCCAAAA